TCATCATCAGAAGCAGTAGATGTGATAGTTTGGGTGTTTCCTTCAGAATCGGTAGTTTGGATGAGAGTAATACCTCTGTCACCAGCGCTTGTGGAGTCATCATCATCATCATCAGTAATTGCAGCTGCACTAGTTTGAGCAGTAGCGGTGCCAGTAGCAGATGTTTCAGCAGATGCAGTATCAGCTGGAGTGGCAGAGGCTTCAGATTGAACAGAGGCAACAGATGCTTCGGATTGAACAGAAGCGACGGAAGCTTCAGAAGCTTCAGAAGCTTCAGAAGCAGCAATAGAGGCAGCAATAGCTCTTTCAGAGGCAACAGAAAGAGAGGCACTAGTTGCTTCAGCGCCAGTTAAAGTTTCAACCGAGCCATCGGATTGAGTTAAATAAAAAGCACCGCCCAAAAGATTGACGACAGTTGAGGTTGAACCTTCATCATCAGTTTCCAAAGTGGTGATAGCATAAGCACCAGTCAAAGTTTCGACTTCAACATTAGTTCTGGTGACAACAGTGATACCAGCATCACGAGCAGAAGCAACAGTAGCTTCTTCACCAGTCAAAGTAAGAGTGGCAGTAGAACCTTCACCATCGGCTGAATAGTAGGTGTAGGTTAGGGGAGCTGGAGCGCCTAAGGTAACAGTTGCAACGATGTTTTCAGTGTAGATTCTGCTTCTCCAGTCTAATTGGGTGACAAAAGTAACAAAATCATTTGTTGGGAACCCCTCTAAAGCTGAGGTTAAGTCTTCACCTTGTAAAGTACGAGCAGAGTAGTAGTAGCTTAAGACATCGGCAGGAATGGTAGCTGAACCGCCATTGATGTAGGTGAGGTAGTCATCACCATACTGTTCCAAATCGCTGAAAAAGGCAGTGATAACATCAACGTTGTAGGCAGAGACAATAGAGCCAAAGATGGAGCCCAAGGCGAAAACCGAAGAGAGCTTCATTATGGAGATGTTGTAAAATTAGGCGTGTTTCCAATGGCGCTAGTAGGGAAAGTTGGTTATTATGATTATGGGTAATATTTATAGTGAATTAGTTTCTGGTTCTTTTTCCTTTTTATAATCAGTGCTGGGGGAGAAAAAAAGCAGGTATTAAAGATGAAAGGATTCTTGAGGATAACCTAAAAATGGATTGCTTAACAGGAAAAGGCTAGGATATGTAGAGGTAACAAAAGAAGAAAAGCAAGAAGAAAAAACAAAAAAAAAGAATTCAGGAAATAGGGAATATATATTTAAATCCAGTAAAGGAGATGTGATTGTGATTGGAATATTCTGGGCACCCATATGAAATTCACATTTTAGAGAGATGAAAACAATCGAGAAGTGTTAAATCATAAAATAGGCAAAAGGCCAAAGCAGATACAAAACTGGAGGTCGCAGTTAGGATTCGCTAATGGTGGTCAAAGTGGTGGAATTAGGTTGGCGCCAGTTGAAACTGATTTGAAGATCCCCCGAGCACAACAAACAGAGCAGCCCGACTCAGCGCGGACAACGCAACGCCGCCCAGCAACGCACCGGCTCAGAAGCCACACCAGTGCAAACGACCGATCGGCTGCAGTCGTGCGCGCGGAAGAAACAACACTGCAGTGTGGTGAGTGGAGATGCAGACACGAGTCAGGGACTGCGATTTCGAAAGACCTTTCTGAGCTGAAATTGCATGTCCTTTTGGTCACTGTGAGTGAGCCAATTGGGAAAGCCTTGAGTTGCAAGTTTCAATTGCTGGAGAGTAAGAGAATTTCCTCTGTGTTATTTCACCTCTCCCTTTCCCTTTTCACACGTTCAGAAAGGTTAATCCCACGCTGTGCAACGAGCCAATAACTCTGCGAAAACAAGAAAACAAATGCGAGTAAACGAATCCAGGGCCACGCCCAATTAGTGGTCTAAAATGGAGCACTAATTGATCACCACATCCTCACTTTGTCATCTTTCTTCTTTGAGCTGACGATGAACACTGCTGGTTTTGGTGCTCTGTTTGATAGATGGTGTATGCTCAACTGAACCAGAGATCATCCAGAGATCATCCAGGTCAATGCTTCGACTATATATCCAAAACATGTTTGTATTTACTCACTTACTCTCACCGCTTTCTATCCTGTGCTTTTTTATTTATGTTTTGTTTTCTTCTTGTTTTGAGACAAAAAGAGAGTTTTGGTTATGTGCTTAACTTTATGTCCTTGTTTTGCTACTGATCTGCCCTAACAAATCGCAACAGATCATGAGGAAAAGCAAAATGGTTCAAATGCAGACAATTGAAAACAAATACAAGCCCGAATAGCAAACATATCCATTTGGGTCAAGAAGTAAACAACTCTCTGTAATCTCTGTAAATACTGACACTGTGAAAGCAGCACTGCCTTATTGTGCTCTGCTTTGGCATTTAGGATTTACGCTCACTCTTACTATTTTCATTGCCTCTTCATTGCCATTGCCATTGCCATTGAAATTGCAGGTGAAAATGAAAATGAAATTCTAACTACTGTTTCAACTCACTCTCCAATGTATCAAAATATCAATCTCATCTTCCTCTCCATCTTCCTTTCGTCTGTTTTTTCTTCTACTCGACAAAATCTGCTACACCCTGAAATGAATTTCAAACTACTCCAAAACAATAAATCCGTAGGTTTGGAATATTTGCAATTCCTACACCTATCGTCTGGAATTTCAAATTTTTTGCATTTCAATCTTCCAACTTTCAATAGCCCATATCTCTTCTCTAAGATCCTATCACTTGAAGAATTTCAGACCAAGACCCAGAACTTCTTCATATACCTCGCCCACTCACCAGCTATTGATTTCAAAAAAAAAAAAACCCACAACAAAAGAAAACAAAAAAAATAAAAGAAAACAACTCCATGGCAATAGAGGTGCAAAAAAAATACTGGAACATTGCTATCAATAATCGTTCTTCAATTTATTCCCATTCAATTTTAAGTTGAAATTCTAAACTTACTATCTCCATTTTTTAAGTTTTTTCCACTTTTTCCACCTTTTCTTCTTCCAAACAGTCCCACTAATTATTTATCACTAGAACTAATTATGAATTGAGTTTGTCTTCTTTTCTACCCTAAAAAAATCATTTCAACTACCATTTCTGTCTTCTCCTTTTTACAATCACTTCAATCTGTCTCAAAACAAGACAATTTTATTCAAAAAAAGACTATCCCATTTCTAAAACACTCACCATCTTACTTCATTTGAAACAAAAAAAAAATAAATGACCTAATCAAACGAACTAAAAAAAATATTTAAAAATAAAACAAATGCGTAAGCCCGGAATCGAACCGGGAGCCCAACGATGGCAACGTTGAATTTTACCATTAAACCACTTACGCTTCTAATTACCTGCGCAGGGTGGGCTTTTTATTTTATGCAAAAATCTAATATTTTAATGGTTATCATGAAAAACACTGCAATTTAAGGTTTTCTTTCTCCGATATCTCTTTAAATATTCCTCTCAATCTATATGCCTTTTTTATCAATCTATCAAATTTTGTAACTATAATTCTTCAACATTTCAAAGTATAAAATAAGAAGTTTTTTAAACAATAGTGAAATTGCTGATTTGAATGATTTAAATTCAATTACCAACAGGAACCCTAGGGCTCTCCACCAAGCTTTGCTTACACTTGTTATAATCAGCTACAGTAACTCCTTCTCATTTCTTAATCAAAATTACTCTCCCGATTCTACCACATCATAATTTTATTTCATTAAGCTAAAATATATTAATACAACAAAGACTAAAAAAACTTGAGCAAAATCCACTCTGTAAAATGATTCCACTCCAATAGCAAACAAAACCATTCATACTGGTTTTTGTATCTACTTTACAAAAACTGCTTTCAATTTTATAAAATTACAAAAAATTCAACTTAAATCAACTTAAATCAACTCAAAAATCACTAAAAAAATTAATTTTTATTGAATTGCTCTAACCATTCAATATTCTCTTAATTAATAATCATTTTAATACTTTTTTTCAATTAAATAATCTTCACTTTTTTCAACTTTTCTTTAGACATCTCCAATAAATCAGAAACTTCTTTCTGATCTCTACTTATAAAAAGTATCATCTCCTTTTGATCATTGCTAAAATCAAAACTGGTTTGAATTCTCAAAAAATCTTCTAAACAATATATTTTCTCATTATCATTATCATTATCATTATCTTTCAATATATTTTTTTTTAATTTAATAGGCGATGCTGGTGGTGAGCTATATGCTCTTTCCCTAGCTATTTTGTTATTTTTATTTTTTTTATTAGCCCTTTTCTGCGTGATTTTTCTTTTCTTAAATGATCCAATTTTGTTTTTCTTACTATTTTCTTTAACATTATTCTTATGAGATTTATTATCTACTAAATTTCTTCGTTTATTATTTGTTTTAATTGAATATTCTAAAATTGAATTTTTTTCATTTTTTGCCTCAATTTTAATTGGAGAATTGGCTGGGGTTATTAATTGCTCTGGTATAACTTTTTCACTAATTTTCTCATTAATTTTCTCACTATTTTTATTATTGGTATTGCCATTGCCATTGGTATTGTCATTGTTATTGTCATTGATATTGTTTTTGTCATTGTCATTGTCATTGTCACTGTTATTGTTATTAACATTCTCATTGGTATTGTCATTGGTATTGTCATCGGTATTATCTTTATCTTTATCACTAATTTTGTCTGTTTTCTTTTTCTTGATAACAATCCACGAAAAATTTAAAACTGTTTTACATTCGGAACAAATAAACTCATCTTCATCTATCCGCTGATGTCCATCGTCTTCACTTTCACTCAAATAATTATCATCTTTATTATACAATAATCTGTATTCATTTTTTATTCTTTCATTTTGAATCTTGATTTTCATTAAGTTTTCTTGTTTCTTAAATTCCTTAACTTTGAAATTTTCCACGTATTTGATTCGATGGGAAATTTCACTAATTACGTGATATCGTTCCGTAATCTCTTTTCTAAACTCTCTTTCGAGAAATTCAATGGCATTTTGGATCATATCATAATTATATTTTGTTATTTTATTAGAATTATCATTATTAGTATTAATATTAGTAGTAGCAGTAATATTAACATTGTCACTAATATTATTATCATCATCATCACTATTTAGTATAAAAGTTAAAGAATGCAATAAATTTCCATTGGATTTTCGTTTTATCTTATTAATCTCGTCTTTTTTAACAAAATAATCTCCTTTACTGAAACATTTCAAAATATCAAAACACAAATCAACCTGGTCAAAAATGGGTGTCTTTTTAATCATTTTATAATCACGAAAAGCTTCACTTCCAAGGTTGAACCAATCATTTGTGGTAAAATTAACGGCTTCATTAAAATTAAATCCGCAGTTAAAACCTGAATGATAAACTTTTGGAAACGTAATGATATATTCTCCAGGTAATTGATTGGCATAATAACATTCAATCCCATGATCAACTATCTCAAATGGTGATACCAATGTAACTAGTTGATGTAATAAATCAGGCTGTTGTAGAAATAAATGAGGGGCAATTTCATGCATCGCTTTCTCGAATTTAGTACAATTAGACGCAGGTATACAATACCATTTTTTAACATCGCCAGTATGACAATAATTTGCAGATAGAGTATAATGATCTTCTAGATGCCAACAAAACGTTGAAAATAACGAACCGACATATATCCAAGGCAGCGTCATTCCAGATATCGAATCATTTAAATTTCCCAATATTGATCCCTTTGCAAAGGGTAGTTTAGTTAGATTAAAAGAGTGGTTTATATAATAGTCATCTTTAAGGTTATCATTATAAGGAAAATTCATTGGGAAGCCAGAAATTTCACCGGGTTTCCTTTTATGAATATCAGCACCATAGTTGACTTTAACGGTAGAATTTTCATTATTAACTAAATTTTCCCAAAACTCTTTTTCTAGTATATCGATGTATTCACTAGAGTATCTGAATTTATCATAATGAAAATTTTTAAATTTTTTACGGATGATTTGATTTAACCCTCTATTTTTGAAATATTTTTTGCGAAATTCATTATTTAATTTTCTAAAGTTTTCCAAAGAGTAATAGTTATCAGACATTAGGAAGCCATATTCGCCTGTTCCAATTAAACATTCTTCGCAAAACCATTTGCCCTTGGGAATCTTGGTTAATGGAGGAACTAGGCAATAGATGTGAAACCCCTTATCACAGCCATCGCATAATAGCATGTTGGAATCATCTTGATTTAAACCACATTTGTTGCACCAATCATCGGTATTGGGATCGTCTTGATTTTTTTGTTTATAGTTTTCGTAGTATTTTTGTTTATAATTTGTTTGGTGTTTTATAATGTAATGAGTTGAGTTGATAGATTGATTCAGCAAGAAGAGGTTGTCGTCATTTTTTTTGTACAAGAAAATACAGTATTCTTTAATTGAATAGTTGTATATGTTGAATATTTCTGTGGAAGATTGGGCCAAGTTATAGATGGAATTTAGAGATAACCAGAGGTTTTTGTAATTTTTGATTTCATTAAAGATTGTGTTGTTGCCGTTGTTGTCGTGTAATTTAGCGTCAATTTTCAAGCCGATGAGATTTTTCAATATGAATTGGTTAATTTTAAGAAATAAATCATAGTAGTATAGCTTTGTGTTATTTGAAAGATAAATATGAGTCAATCTGGGAGGTTTCTTTTTTTTCATCATGAGGAAATTGGCTAGGCCATCTTTAAAAATAGATCTCATTCTATTTAGTAGATTTAGTTCGTTTAGCTGTTGTATTCTTGGTTTAAATTTGAAACTCTTTTCGTTAATTGAAAAGGGAGGCGACCAAGAAGTTGGAGGAACTAGTTTGATCATGCCATATTTTTTGGATAGGTTTAAAATATCAGGAGAAGAAAGATAGGAAATCGGGTCAGAAAACTGATCGAGATTGGGATAAACAGTTGGAACCTGTATTAGTTTGTTTGAGGAAGTATTTAAAGAAACTTGAGCAGAATCTGAGATGGTTGAGATTTCAGTGTCGTTATTGAGAGCAGCAGTGGCAGTGGCAGTGTCATTTGCAGACAAAAAATCAGAGGCATAGGCAATTTCTGAGCGAGATTCAGAGGGACAGGTTGACAAAGAGTCAACAATATTGGTATCATTAGAATCGTCAAAAGATAGAGTATCGTCCGATGTAGGTTTTGGTGAATTTGAAGGGGCGCTGTGGTGAAGCAGAGGCATCTTGAAGTGACAGAGTAGGGTATATGAACTTTAACAATGTTCCAAAAAAACAAAGCAAGCACTTGACAAAAAATAGAAAAAAAAACAACGAATAACCTGACAAACAAATACAAATTCCAAAAGCAATGGATTTAAACAGTGGATTCCAGCGATGAAACCCAAAGATTTTCTTAGCAAAGTATATGTTATCAAAACCTGCTTATGTGCTGTTATTTTTAACTCTAATACAGACCTCAGCTTTATAAGAAGATAAGACTAGTAGAATAATGGCAATAGGAAGGTTTAAGGAATAACAAGCAACGAGTATAGAGAAGGATGTCCAGCGAGAGTAAACCGGAGAATTGCAGGCAAACCAAAGTTAGAGCAGCTTTGAGCAGCTTATAGAAGAGATGATTGAGAGCTCCAAAAACAAGCTTGGAGGATAAGAAGCAGGGTGTGTGAGGAAGCCCAAGGGCAGTGCTGGGAAAACAAAGAAGAAGCAGCAGACGAACAATGGAGCAACCTCTGTGTGGGTTGTATCATGGAGAGAACAAACAACGAAGGACCAGCTCTTGATCAATGTTGAGCCAATGGGTAAGTGTGGTCTCAGAAAGTTTGCTGTATATCCAACGAGAATTAGGTTCGAAAAGAAATTGGGTGATCTGAGAGTCCTCAAAAGCGAAGCTGCACCCAGTTGCTGCAAGGCAACAGTAGCTCCAGCTGTTTCTTCCTCTCTGCTGTGTTCCTCGTCTTCGGCTGCTGCACCACCACCATCTTCGTTGTGCTTCTTCTCTCTTCCCTTTCCTCCTCCTCCTTCCTCTGCGTCGCCAACCAATGGGCCTCATATCCCGTTGCCGCAGGTGCTGCAGTTCTACCTTCCTCACAACCCCCCAAACACACCACCAGATATCCTATTTCCACAGGGGACTCACCAAAAGCGGAAGCAGCATGATAAGGCGCTGCTTCCTTTGCTGCTTCTGCTTCTTCTGCTGTGTGTTGAGAGCTCGTTCTTCCACGATGGTCTCTCTTGCTACGTTTCCCAAGAAGCTATTCAAATGGTTCCTCGCAATCAACCTCCTCTGGATATTTCTCTCCACAACCCTTCCTGCCATCATATCCTCCTCCAACCAACCCATCCTGAAGCTTACAACAAACAGAAGACTCGATGCTGCTCAACTTTCTATCAACTCAATTCCTTCCAGCTTGAGGAATGCTTCGATCTACTTGGTCATTGCCCATCCTGACGACGAAGTCATGTTCTTCAGTCCCTCCATAATCGAATTGAACAAAAAAATCTACAACAATACACTAAATATCATCTGTTTCTCTAATGGCAACAACGATGGACTAGGCCATATCAGATCTTCTGAAATTGTTCACAGTGGTGTAATCCTAGGTTTGGATGCAGTTTCTATTCACGTAATCCAAAATGAAATCGATTTCAAAGATTCAATGTCAATAATTTGGGATTCCCAAAAAATTTCAAACCAGCTAAACCACTTGATATCAAATAATAAACTACACAATAAGATTGTTCTCCTATCGTTTGATCAACTGGGTATATCAAACCACCCAAATCACAAATCGCTATACTATGGTTGTCTTGATTTTATTAAATCTTTCAGCAAATCTTACAACCACCACCAACTTGTTTTTTATAAATTAAACTCTTTGAATTTCTTTCAAAAATACTCTTTCACTCTTTTAACTAATTTCCACCTATTAAAAAATCATTTGATTTTATTATATTCAAATAACCCATCATTTGACGAAAAAATTGTTGATATTTCATCCAATTTTCCATCAGTTATTTTAAGTCTAGCTGCAATGTCTTTTGCTCATGATTCCCAAATGGTTTGGTTTAGATGGGGTTGGCTATTATTCAGTAGATTTTTAAATTACAATCAATTAATTCATGTTCAATTCTAACTCCAACTCCAACTCCAATTCCAATTCTAATTGTAGTTTTAACACTAATATCTCACTTAACTCACTATTCTAATCTCTCTCCCGACTTCTATGAAAAATTAATTAATAATTAAATACTTAGTTATCCATAAAAACTCTCTTAGAAAATAAAAATAAAAATAAAAATAAAAATAAAAATAAAAATAAAAATAAAAAGCAAATAAATAAATAAATAAATAATTACACTACATATACAAATGAATTGAATTGAAAAGCAAAAAAACGTAACACTTAGTAGCAATCAATATAATAATTTTATTAATAAACTCAGTTGAAAATGAAATTTCTCTTTTTCAAACTATGCAATTATAATCCAAAATTAGAAAAATTTTTAGTAATAGTTAGAAGGCTTTTGTGTTTTGCCTCGATTATTAAACCCACCCCTTGAAAAGTTGCCTCTACCACCTCTCGATGAGCCTCTTATAGGTCCTCCTCGAGAAAATCCTCCTCTAGAATTTCCTTCCCAAGAAGATCCTCTTTCAGAGAACCCACCTCTTGAAGGACTATTATTTGAAAAATTATCTTTGAAATTACCTCTGAAGCTGCCTCTAGAATTTCCTCTAGAATTTCCTTTAGAATTTCCTCTAGAATTTCCTCTAGAATTTCCTTTAGAATTTCCTCTAGAATTTCCTCTTGAAAATCCACCTCTTCCAAAGTTTCCTCCAGTTTTATTATTTGATCCAAAATTATCTCTTGTTTTGCTATCAAATCTTTTCTTAAATGGCGGCCCATCATTTCCATGATCTTTTGATAATGGTCTCTTATATTGATCATTGTATTGATTGTTTGTTGTTTCATAATTATCGTAGGTTTTTTGATAATTATTCTCCCTGAAATTTTCAGAGTTATCATAATTTTTATATTCACCATAATTATCATTGTTATCATAATTGGAATAGTCACCATAGCTATCATAAGTATTATAATTAGCATAAGTATTATAATTATTATAACCATCATAATTATCATAATTAATTTGACTTTGGGATTTTTCATCGTATTGATTATTTTTATCATCAATGCCATAATTATCATTGTCACCAAAATTATCATAATTATCAATTGATATTATATTTGTTTCTTCATTGTCTCCATAATTATCGAAAGTCTTATCATCAATATCCTCAAATTCCTCATTTTCCAAAGAGCTCTTTCGCTCATTTTTTTGATTACTCACTGTGTGTTCAACATTTTTCTTTTCTTTTGAATTAGGTTTTTCATCATTTTTCTGGGCTATGTCAATACTAGTATTACCCAAATTTTGTTCATCCTGAACAGAAGAGACTAATTCATTAATAGATGTTATATTATCTTCCGCTTGAATTTTTCCAACAGCTTCATTGATAATATTATCCCCGTCAAAATTGTTGTTATTGTTACCGAGATTATCCCAATCATTACTTCTATTGTTACCACTCAATTCATTTAAATTGTTAGAATTAGATTTATTATTTTTATTCTCTTCAGTTTTATCTGACGAATGAGCTTTATTATCCGTTAAATGTGTGGCTTGATCAGATATTTCACTGGTTTTACTTCTTGAATGTGCATTTTCATTCTTTAAATTATCATTGTTATCATTTTTATCACCTAGAGCCAAATCTTTTTTATTAATATTAATTTCATGATTATCAGCGTTTTCAAGCTCATGATATAAATCACTGATATTCAATGTTTTTTCAAAATTTTCTTTTGCTAATTTTCCTTTAGTGATAGTCTCTGAAATCGATTCTTTTGGATTATTCCGGTTGCTTTGTTTATTCTGTTTACTCTGATCATCATCATTTAATTCTAATTCTTTTAAAGTTTCTTTTGAAACAAATAAATCTGATGAAGTTTTTGAGTTAGACTGATTGCTATTTATATGGTTTATGCTTTGAATGCTGTCATGAACCTGGTCATCTTTGTATTCTTGAGATCCAACTTTATTCAATAATTTCTGATCTGCCTCAATTGTTGAAGCAAGAGAGTTACCAGACTTTTTATATTCGTATGGCTTGTCTATCTCTTTAGGAAGACGGCGTCCACCCAATATTCTTTGTTTATTATCATTAACTTTTATTGCTTTTGAAGATCCATCATTGATTTCCATAAAAGCATTATCGTCAGAATCGGTATGCAGATTTTTATCTTTGATTTTTCTTAGAGGAATTTTTGGTTTTTCATTCGAGTTATTTTTTTTTGTTTTGTAATTTTTTCCAAGGTCCTGCTTTTTATTATTTTTGATATAATTCCGATGTATGTTATATTCAGTATTATCTTTTTTCTCTTTTTTCTCCTTTTTATTATGACTCCCTTTTTCACCAACATTATCTTTACCATTAAGATTACCATAACTGGAATTATAATTGTTTCCATGATTATAATTATTGGGACTATTATAATTATCATAGTTATTATAATCATTGTAGTTATGATAACTATTATAGTTGTCATAGTTGTCATAGTTATCATAATTATCATAATTATCATTATTATTGTTATAATTCTTGTGACTATCGTACTTATCATAATTATTGCTAAAATCCTCATAATGCTCGACCTGATCATCGGTTCCGTAATTTTTTGAATCTTGTACCTTTATGTCAAACAGACCATAGTCTGTAATTTCGGTTTCATTTTTTCCAACATTCTCAGAAGAATTACCTGTCGATGGTTTTGATTCCAATTTAAAAGATGAATTATTGTAGACATCTAGATCAATATTTGTATTTCTAACCGAATGGGTGTTCAAATCGTCACCAGAAGGTGCAAGGTCATGACTATTAGCGTCAATCACCTGTATTTCCTTGCCTAAATTAATTTTCGTAGAGTCTTTATGCTTTATTGTTTTATTATGTTGATTTTGTTTATCTGAAGGGTTCTTTTTTTCGTATTTTTCTTCATTTTTATCTAAATTATCAATTGATATTTCATCAAAACTTAAACTGATACTCTCATTAGCCTGAACAATATTTTGTTCATTTAAATCAGCTTCAACTATAAGATCAAAATCACGTTCAGAATTATCTTTAGCTATAATATTACCGTTGGATTTATGCGACTTTTTAGCTAATTCATTGACAGATTTGGAATTAAAGTCTTTAATATGATTTGAATTATAATTTTTGTCTGATTTCCTAGACTCTATTCTATTTTCATTTGGATATTCACCAATTTTTTCTTTTGCATTATCAGATTTATTGTTTTTTTCAGTTTTATCAAGCTCACTATTTTTCTTTATCTCTGTTTTGGTTTTTTCAATGTTCAGTGAATTATTATTCTGTTCCATTTGTTTTGAATCTGATTTTTCACTGTTTTCAATACCTTTAATTTGTGAATTTGTAGTCTCTTTTAACATAAAATCAGGTGTATTCACATTTTTGATGGTAGATAAACTAAGTTCATCGTGTTTTTTATTAGGAATATTGTTTGTTTGACCAATTTTTGTATTAAAACTTGACTCCATTTCTGTAATTTCACCAGGTTCATCAAATTCGTGAGATGAAAGAGCTGATAAAATTAACGAAGAAGCCCTTTTTCTGTTTTTATCCGAGTTTTTATCTAATTCTGCTCTTGGTTCATCTACTTTATCTTCTATAACTCCATGATCGCTAATTAAAGGCTCGTTTTCCATAATTGAAGTTTCGTCTTGTGATTCGGATAAATCATCAAGATCCAAATCATTTTTATTATTAATTTTTAAAATGTCTTCTATCAAAACTTGTTGTTCAATTTCAGGTTCAATTTCTTGCTTAGATTTTTGATTAGTTTCATCTTTTTGGTTTAATTGATAATCTTTGCTATTATTATCATTATAGTTTTCAGTATTGTAGTTATCAGCAAAGTTGTTTTGAGCAAGATGATTTTCATCTGTATAATCATAGTTTCCATCATCGTAGTTTCCATCATCGTAGTTTTCAGTAGTATAATTTTCATCACCATAGTTTTCATCACCATAGTTTCCAGCAGTATAACTATCAGTAGTCTCTTTTGGATTCAGATAATTAGTATAGTTTTCATCTTGGAAATAGCCCTTTTTATTATAAGCAGGATAGTTCTCGTAATGGTTCTTTTTATTATAATAATCATTATTCTTATGATAAAAATCATTATATGAGTAATTGTAATTTTTATTATGGTTATTTTCATATCTTCCAGATTTTTCTTTATTATTATATCTTTCAGATTTTTGATTTGGTGAGCCACGAAACTGATTGTTTTTATTAAATTTCTGTTTTGGATCTCTGTAATTACCTTCATCTCCATTATAATTATATTTTGATTTCTTATCAAAAGAGAAAAATTCATGTTTATCACTATATCCAAAAGCATTCGATTGATTTTTATAAACATAGGAGTGTCTATCATCACCTCTAAAATCTGATCTCATTAATTGTTTACCATAATTTTCTGTCAGATTACTTGTATTAAAATCATTTTTTCCATGATTAAAATTTTTATTAAAATTTTTTTTCTCATATGGTTTATAATTATTATCAATTCTTTTATTTTCTGTGGAATAATAATGATTGTCATAGTTTTTATAATTATTATTTGTATTATAATATGATTTTTTATTATTATTGGAAGCCGTATAATTATCATTAGAATAATCGTTATAATTGGTATTATAATTTTCATTTTGGTCAAAAGAATCAACATAAGAATCACCATAAGAATCACCATAAGAATCATCATAATCCTGATGTTCTATTGTAAAATGATCAATGTTATCATAACTTTGCTCGTAATTCTCAGTGTTATCGTAATTCGATTCAAAAGATTCATCATAATTACTAGGTTCAGTAGGAAATTCTTTATTTAAAGAAGGATGAATGATTTTTTTAATATCTTCATCCACTGGAAACCTAGCTTTTTGAGCTGAAAGAACCTCGCTTCTTCTTTCAATAGTGGTATCAATCTTGTGAACTGATCTCAAAAAGCTTGGAATTGACTTATTTGAAACAGATGATTTTCTTGAAGAAATAGATTTTCTTTTTGAATCAGGGCTTTTAAAATTTTTATGTGATTCCCTGAACCTTTGTTCTTTCTCCTGTAATTCTTTGAGTTTATTTTCTTTTAATTTTTTTTCTTCTTCAAATTGTTTTTCTTTTAACCTTTTTTGTTCAAGGTTTTTTTTTCTAATTTGCTCTAATTCATTTTTCTTAGCGTCTTCAAAAAATTCTATTGCTTCTTTAAGTGAGGGATTGATTTTGCTTCTTTTGTTATTAATCAAGTTTCCGTTATTGATTTGGTAAATGTCGTTCAGAGAATCGAGATTTTTATTGATTTTAATCTTATCAGTTTTAGGTTTATCAGCTGCAGATCCATCAATTTTTGCAGTTTTATCGGTTTGTTCAGTTTGATTTATTGTTTCTGCTTTATTAATCAGATCTATTTTCAGTACATTTTCAATATTATCAGTTTTATTAGTTTTATTAATATTACCGATATTGTCAGTCTTATCAATATTATCCGTTTTATCGATAATACCAGTTTTATCAATATTATTTGTATTATCAGTAGCATCGGTTTTTTCAATATAATTGTTGATTGTAGTATTTTCAGTGTTAGTTTGATATAATTTGTCATCGTTAGTTTGTGGATTTTGATTATGATTAAGGATGTCATTAGGGATGTCATTAGAGATGTCATTAGGGATGTCATTTTGATCATCAATTAAACTTTTCAGTTGAAGCCTTTTAGCTTCAAGTCTTTTTAGACGTTGTTTTTCAAGAATATTTTGAATTGAGGCATTAACAGTTTTAGTGACGACAGTGCTTAAATTCATTATATTAAGTTTTTTTCGATGAGATTGTAATAAAAATTTATCATTGATTAGGGATAGTTTCTTATTCCAGCCATAGACGTCATTTAATTTTTCAAAGACTTTAGCAAAATTAAATAAGTCAAAATATTTACTTTCAGTTATAGATGGAGTATTCATGATTTCTTTCAATCTTTTTCTGATGGTCGAAGTTTTCAAAATTTTGGCAGAGATTCTTTTATAGATGAATAATTTTTCCAAAACTTTTTTGAAATTTAAAAAAGTGTTCAAAGTATAAGGGGGGATGGATAGTATTACTCTTAATTCAAGGGAGAGTTCATTTAAACTTGATATGATTTCAGGTTCGGATAGACTATTTGCTTGTAAGACAAGTTGGTCGTCATCGTTTGGGTATTTGAAGATGTATTTAGGGGCAGATGAGTCCTCGTCTTGATCATTTCCACGTCCATCATCTAAATCTGCACCGAATAGTGAATCGTTATCATCATTTTGTTCTTGGTTATCAGCGTCTGAACTGTCATTAACAAGAAGAGAGAAGTTGTTTCTTGATGTTGTTATATTTTTGTTATATTTTTTTTGTTGTGTTTCATCTTCTTTGTGTTCATCTTCATCAGATGAGGAGTTTATGTCTATAATTTCAGGCAGATGATTTCGAATGATTTTTAGGTTTTGTTTTCTTAATTTTTCCTTTTTGGAGATAACTTTTTTTGATTTTTGAGCTTTTGAAATTGATTTTTTCTGCGTACTTTTTGAATTGATTTTTTTGTGTTTATTTGGAACTTTTATCAAAATCGAATTCTTTTTTTTAGCTGAAGAAGTTTTTATATTGATTGAATTTTTCTTTGAGTTTGAGTCTTTGATTGTTGATTTTTTTGAATTTTTTAATTGTTTATTCGATAATTTGGGAGCAATTTTTTTAGTTTTAGTGATGATTATATCATCATCATCATCATCATCATAATGGTCATTATCGAGATATTTCTCTTCTTCCTGTTCTTCTTCTTCATCATCTTCATCGTCATCGTCGTCGTTATAATCATCTTCATCTTCTTCAATATTATTTTCGAATTGGTGATCTATATCCTGGTCTGAGTTTGAATTATTGCTGTTTTCTTCTTCTTCTTCTTCTTCCTCTTTATTATCATTACTGAAGGAATTGATGAGGTTATTTGAAGATTCTAATTCTCTAAACTGTCTTAAATTTCTTTTTCTTTGAATAATTCTCTTTTCAATTGATGTTAGACGATCATTTCTTCTACCATAACTACCTATATTAATGTGTTTATGATTTGGAGGTTTCTTTCTTTTTGTGATTAAATTTGAATTTGAGTTTGATAAAGAGTTTTTTTTCTTATTTTTAGTGGATTGTTTATTGGTTGATGAAGATGAGTTTGGGGTAGAAAAACTTAATTCTAATCTTTCTAATTCATCAATTTCATCGATTTCAATGTCATTGCCATTTTTGTAAGCATCATCATCGTTGTCGTTGTCGCTGTTATTATTATTGATGTAGTTGTGTTTTTTGTTTGACTTTAGAGATCTTGAAGAGGATTTTGATGCTGGAGTTGAGATAGATATGAAATCCTTTTGGGTTTTAGTTGATCTTTTTCTTCTAGTTATTGTGGGCATATCTTTAGTGTTTAATTGTTTAATTGTTTAATTGTTTAATTGTTTAATTGTTTAATTGTTTATTGTTGTGAAAATTTCCTCTTGTTTTGAGATCGAGTTGTTTGAGATTGAATGGTTATAGTGTGAAAAATAAAAAGGAAAAATAAAAAAAAAATGAAGATGAAAATGAATATGAAAATGAAAATGGAGCCGAATAAAGTAGAATGCAATTCAATGAACTAACAAAAAAAGCTGGGAGAGAACAACAAAAAGAAATTGGTGGATGAATTGGTCGAGGAGTTGATGTCAAAGATGCCCAATCAAGAGAGATAGTCGACTGGTTATCAGCTTGAGAATTTGGTTTGAGCGAACTGAGGATATAATGCGACTCAAAAGCCAGGAAGGAGATCCGGCGCGGATAGACGCGGATAGACGCGGATATACATATCCGTTTCCGTATAAAAAATCCGCATTGTTCAGTTGTCTCCGTGGTGCATTCACATGCACATGCACATGCACATGCTTTTGAAAGCCGCCGGAAAGAAAAGCGCCGCTGGAGGATCCGAAAGAAGATCCGAGGAGGAGCCGAGAGTGTCGCAGTTTCCAGAGGATTCCAGAGGGTTTCAGAGGAGGAAACGCTGGATGAGCAGCAGAGGAAGCACAGACAGTAGAGCTCGGACTGGGAAGAAGCCGCTGGAGGAGAAGGGTCCTGCACAGAAACAGCGTATATAAGCCCTTGATCGTGCTGTTGGGGTTTGTTTTGTTTTGTTTGCTATATGATTTTTGTCAACTTAGTTCTCTTATTCCAGCGGTGATAGTTTATCTATTTGAGTCTTATTGCAGCAAAGCTTATAAGTTTCTCAATCCTAAATCTTATATTCCTTTAGTTGTTTTTGTTGAAAAATTTTAGAAATTTCTAACAAGATCCAGAGAGGTTGTGTATAAATAATTTATAAGTAATTTTGAATCCTGTTTTGTTAGAAGAGGATAGTCATTTTAGGAGAATAAGATCATTGACTGTATATAATAGTGCTTTGATTTTGTGATATTCTTTTTATCGTTATCAAAAGGCTTTTTTCGACCAGAGAATAAAAGTGTATTATTTAGTGAATAAGGGTTGAGGATAGAGCATCGAAATGACATATTCTAAGCCATCAACATCAGAGCAGATTGAAGTTACTGTGAAGAACAGTAATAGTACGATGGCCAAGTATCATAAGGATGGACGTAATTCGTCTTCGGCAGACTCTGGATCTTCGGTTTCATCATATTTAGATGAAGAAGATGGGTATCATCGGTACGATGTGAAGCATATTCAAAACCACTCGAATGCGAATGCGAATGCGAATGTTAATACTGATTTTTTGAGGTTGAATTTGAAGTCCTCTATTAATAAAAGCACAGCGACGTCGATTATCGGTGGATCTTCAATTAATATTGATCGTACTGATGATGATCGTGATCGTGATGATGATCGTGATCGTGATGATGATCGTGATGATAGTAATGGTAATGAGATCAAAATTAATATTAAAAAACATATCATTAATGAAAATTATAATGATAATGGGAATCAAAATAATATTGATACTGGTGATGGAAATGGCAAAAAACCATTGAATATAACAGATAGGGTCAAGTCTATATATAGCAAATTCAATGAATCTCACAAGATATTTTCATTTTCATTACCATTTGGGAATTCATTAAAGAAAAACCCTATAAAGTCGTTATCGCTACCAATAAAGTTGCCCTCAATTTTATTTCCATCGAGCAATGGAAATAAAGAGATGACAAAAGAAGAGATCAAGTTGAAATTGAAAAAGCAACAATCAATTACAACGATAGAAGAAGAGATTCTATATAAAGACCATAAAGGATTGGACAATTCCAGGTTACGAGCAATTAAAAACTCAATCACCATCAAGGGTATCAATGTGAACAATCTAAACAATATCATGAATATTATTAATAACAATAACAATAACAATAATAACGATAATAATAGCAATCAGGTGGATATCAGTGTTCATCAGTATGTTAGCAAATCTAATAATGGATCATTTAATTCTGAATTAGAGAGAATAGAGTCGATTTTCAATAAATTGGATGGGGATATAGTGATTATAGGCGGGTATAGAGGCTCAAAGTTGAAAGATAGAAAGCTGAACAAGACTTTGTGGATTCCAATTAAAGCAGGATTTAATTTGACCAAGATAAACTTGTTTATTGGGCCTGAAGATGAAGACGAAAATAGGATTGTAGACAAGGGACAAGTTATATCAAATGGGATGTTGACACACATTGGGCCAATTGACATTTCAAAGAGACTAATCAAGAAATTGGGCTCATCAAGAAATTCTGTTGTCCATGAATTTGGATATGATTGGAGGTTGTCAAGTGACATCAATTCTCACCGGTTGTATGAGTTTTTGAGCAATATTTATAAGAAAACGACAAACAGGACAACAAAGAAACATGGGATCTTGATACTCGCACATTCGATGGGAGGAATAATAACCCACCATGTTTTGAACAACTACGACACAGTTGAGAAAGGGCTAATTCGAGGGATAGTTTATATGGGAGTTCCTTCCTCGTGTCCAAACATCTTGGGGCCAATCAGATACGGAGACTCGATCTTGTTGAACAACAAGATCCTATCAGCAGAGGTGAATTTTTTGATGAGATCCAGCTTTGTTTTTCTACCATTGAACGGGAAATTGTTTGTTGATAAAGAAAGCAACGAAGAGTTGGTAATTGACTATTTCGATGCAGACAACTGGGTGAAATACAACTTGTCACCCTTGGTGTCTAGCTATTATAAGAACAACCGACACTACAACAACTACGACACAACCATCCGGGTGTCGTTTAACCAGGCCTACGACTACCTTTCGAGAACGCTCCGAAGAACAAAGAAGTTTCTCCACGAGTTGGAATACCGTCCCGAGTGGCAGAGCCAGTATCCACCGTTGGTGATCGTGTACGGCAACCAGGTGCCCTCGGTTCGACGCTCGCGAGTCGAGGGCTTCGGCGGCATTCTGCGCGGCGCCTACGACGATTTTGTATACGGGCCGGGCGACGGAGTGGTGTACCACAAGTTGCTCATGCCCGAGCAGAACGGCTTTCCGGTGGTGGCCAAAATCGCCTCCGACGCAGGCCATGTCAGTCTCATGGCCGACATAGACGCGATAAGCAGGGCTATCGAGGCGATTCTTGTGCACGAGCAGCACACGCAGCACGCGCCACACGCGCCGCCCCTGTTGCTGCGTAGTACGACTGGGGCACTGCTTCTGCTGCTGTCGCCGGTGGCTCGTAGCTCCGGCCGTGCGCCACCGGCCGATGTACAGCTGCCTCTGCTTCCTCTTCACAGCTCTGCTCCTGCGCTTCCTCCACCTGTTGGCTGAATTGCCTCCTCTGCCTTATCGTCGCTCTCCAGCTCTGTCCTTATTCTTGTCTCCAGCTGCAGCTTCTTTTCTCGTCCATCCGTAACACTCCTCACACTCCTCCCCCTCGTTTTTATCCTTGCCTGACACTCTTCCTGCTTTCTAATCCCACTCATTGACACACGTCGCTGTCCCTACAATCTACAACTGATTCACTGAGCAAATTCAGAAAAAAAAAAAAAAAGTATCTGAAAAAAAGAACAAAAAGAAGAACGTAAAAAAGAACGTAAAAAACCACTGAAAAAAAGAACTGAAAAAAAATTTACCACTTTTTTTTATCAATCAATATCTCACCTCCTGATTAATTCTATTTCTCCTTCCAACTTTTTTTTTTTCTTCTGAATTTGGTTTCTTGAGAGCACTGTTCTTCCACTGATATAAACCAACATCAAAATGGATTCTGATGGTGTTAACCAAATTGTCACTGCCCTTGGCTTGATCCACAACCCAAGAAGCTCAAATGATGATCGTCGTCAGGCTCAGCAATTCCTCGATAAAGTAAGACTAGAACCTGAGTCCCCATTTTGGGGTTACCAACTCTCTCTCCCCAACAGCAACAACAACACCATCGTTCGCCATTTTGGTTTGACCCTCCTAGAAAAATCAATCATGTACGACTATGACACCTACAACTTGGAGAAAATCCTAACTGTTCGAAAGTGGATCATCGAACTATGCTCAAATGTTACAAACGACGACCCAAACTACATCAAAGAAAAACTAGCCTTCCTATGGGTTGCCCTAGCCAAAAGATCCTGGGGCATTTATGTAGAACTAGACTGTGCTCCCCTTGACTTGGCTGCTCTAAATGAAATACTCATCAACAAGGACAAATCGGCTCCAAATCATCTTCCCAGGTCTCATCTTCTATCAAATTCAAATTCAAATTCAAACTCCAATTCCAATCCCAATTCCAATTCCAATTCCAATTCCAATTCCAATTCCAATTCCAATCCCAATTCCAATTCCAATTCCACTCCCAATCACAGTTCCAATCCCAATTCCTTTTCTCAAATCACCTCTACCAAAGATACACTATCATACACTGACCTAATAAGTGGTTGGGTCGACATGGACAAGGACTTGTTCCAGCTATGGAATGCCAACCTCTTTACCAGAGAACTATCCCTAATCATCTTCAGAACCCTATTCGAAGATATCTTCATCCTCGAAGACCCCATTGCCATCTCCAGATCTCCTCCTCTAAATCTCTTTTGCTCAGAAATCATGTCCTCCTCTGCCATAGTTGAAACATACTACGACGCAAGTCCTCTCATCTCCATCGCCAGAGCTTCCGATCATGGTTGGCTAAAAATCTGGTCTGACTTCCTCCAACAGTGTCTCTCAAACCAAAACGATAAAAACTCTCTAAACTTCATCAACAAAATACTATCAACCTTCAAAGCCTGTTTACACTGGATTTTTCCGGCAAACCTCCTAGAAAGCGATATCCTTCAAAGAATCACCTCTTCCCTATTATCTAACGACATCCACATCAAAATCTTAGCTGTAGACTGCCTCCATGCTCTATTAACAAGAACCTTCCTAACCACAGAAGAATTCAATAAAATAGTTGGCGCCATCTTCATGCCTGAAGGCATTCAAATGCTATCCCAGGTCTACGACTCAGTAATACTAGATCCAAACAACATCAACGAACACCACTACTCATTCATAAAAAAACTAGTCGAAATGTGCGTAGGCCTAAGCAGCTACCTAAGTTCAGCCGCCGCTGCTGCTGCTGCCTCCTCTTCCTCTTCAGATCCACCTTCAAACATCCCACTCTCAACCTCAAATTCAAACATCAATGCAAACACAAATCCCAATGCAACCAATACTACAAATGGCTCTTCTCAAAATTTCTCAACAAAATATTCCCCTCCTACAAAATCTGGCTCTTTTATCTTACCCAAAAACTCAGATATAATGGGCTACCTAAAACTAATTCTAAAGACAACATGCAACGAATCCCTAATAGTGTCAGGTCTTTCCTTAAACTTCTGGGTATCAATGCTAAGAATAGACACTCTTTCAAATGAAAATACTCTCTTCTTCCAATTGCTTCCAGATCTTCTAGAAATATGCGCCAACAGGTTACTAAACTACTCTGACTTATTTGAACAACAGGATAATAACGAATCATACACTGACGATTTCATACAATCCTCCAACAACAATAACCCGCACTTCAAAACTCTCCCTTCAAAGAAATACATTGATATCGACTTTGACTCAACGCCCGAAATAAACACTTTTCTATCAAACTACATAAAATATCTAGATGACATTATCAGAATAATTGTCTGTAAAAGACCAAAAGAAGGTTTACGCTGGTTGGAACAAAGACTAAAAGACTTCTTCTTTTCAGATCATGGCCTGAAATGTCTAAATCAATCAAAACTATACCTAAATAAAAAAATTGACTTGCCTTACTTCTGGGGCTACCAACAATTTGAAATCATTGAATCAACTGTCAAGGGTATCTCCCGCTGGAAAATCTGGTATGACGATGATAAACCAGATAAACAATCAAAACTAACTGAACTAAATCAACTAGTAGAAATCCTATGTGAAAATTTATTAGCCTTGAATTTATGCGATTTAATGCTTCTAAGAAAACAAATTCAAACATTGGTCCAATTTACTCCTTTGCTAAAAGACACACAATCTGGCTTAATGCTAAAAGTTTTGGAAAAAATATTAACCATTTCAACTTTTGAAATTAATGAAAATGCTTCAGACGAAGAAAGAGAATTAGTCAGAGATTTAAGAATCACCTGTGGCACTGAGTTAAATAGACTAGGCTATATGATTCCAGAATCATTGAAAGAGATCCTAAATGATCTAGAAAACGTTATCGCAAATATATTACTGACTAAAAAAATATCGGCTCATGAGTCTGTGGCGTTTAAATCTTTTTTATTAGTTGTATCCCAAAGATCCTCATTGGCAAAAGAAATAAAATTTGAAAAATTTTCGAAAATTGTAGATCCTGAACTTGAAGCTTGGAATGATCCTGCAACAATGAAAGGGCTCTCGGAATTGCCTTGGTTCATGGAGAGATTGGGTATTGTCAAAATCGCAGAATATTTCAAAGAAAGAGGAATTAATGGCAAAGCTGATCTTTTAACAATCGATATGGATGATAAGGGAAGAAAATTAAAATCTGCTTTAAATGAACATTGGGGCAAGATATTCCCTGTTAGAGCTACTAGAATCTATGTTCAATATTCTATTGAAAAATTACCTCACACTTCTCCAGATTACCTACATTTACTATCATTATGGAAACCAAGAATACAACCTATATTGCCATATATTTTACAACTAATTTCTCAAATTCAAAAATACCACAATCCTCAAAATTGGCTTGATTTACCTATTGAAGTTCAATCTTTTGTAAAAGATAGTTGTGCTGAAAGATTTTGGCAAGTTGGTGTATCCACAAAAAGCAGAGATTCTTTTGTTTCCGAAAGTGTCAAGGCAATGCACACGTTGAGGGATTTTGCAGATTCTGTTGGGCACATTGTCAGATATACTAGAGAATATGCATTCCTAGCAATTGCATCGATATCTCAATTGGAAGACACTTTATATGAAATTCCGGGAATGGGGGAATTGCTATGGAAAGCAGCAGCATCAGATTCAGCAGGTATATCATTGCATTCATGGAGACATATGATCAACTTATTATTCAGAAATACCGTTAAGAATTGTCCAGCAAAATTTGTTGTACCTTTTATGGGACCATTATTAACAATTGCATTACCTGCCATTGATGAATTATTAACTAAAAACTGGGAAATGGTGTATAATAATGGCATACAGTTGCAAGGAAACGAAAATGACGATGCTTTATCGGAAGAAATGATGCAAGAACATTTACTAAGGCAATTAACAGCAGTTGTGGATAGAATGTTGATTGATTTAGTTGGCCAACTCAATAGTAGGTTCCCCTTGAATGAAACCCAAATTGAGATTAGAACGTTGATATTCAATAATAAGGAACTACTAGGAAGCTTTTTACAACTATTGACACATGTAATAAGTTTTAAGGATACAAAATGCTCATACAATGCCATTTTAATATTGAGAAATTGTTACAAAGAAATTTTATTGAAAGATGAAGAAGTTGATAAATGGTTATGTAAAGAAATTTTTGTAATTTTAGCCACCATCTTGAATGATACATTTTTTCAGGATGTTCACGCCGAAGCTGGGTATCTGTTCACTGAAATATATATCTACTTGAGATCAAAGTATGATTTCCCAGCCTATGCATTAGAAGAAATATTACAATGTGATGATAAAGTGATTAAAAATATGGAAAGTCTTATGGGATCTAGTAAAAGCTTGAGACAAAGAAAGGTGTGTCTAATTCAAACCATTATAGCAAATAATGAGGCTATTCAAAAACAAGATAGAAAAAGATTACTAGCAGGAAGAAACCGCAAAAAGTTGAATACAGATTTAATGAATGGTGACGAACATCATATTTTGGGAAATTTATTTGGATGATATAGATATATGAAAGAAAATGCTTCGTATGAGAGTTCCAACAAGGCTGTTGCAAACTAAATAGTCTACACCTTTTTTTAACCTTTTTTTTTTTTTTTACCAAAAACACAGCTATTATATTATACTCCTCAAAATCCCATTTACTCTGTTCACTTTATATTTTCAGATGGTTTTAATCGCCCTCAAGAGCCATATTGGCAAAGTTCTAAGTATTTAAATAGGAAACCCACATCAAAGTATATATTTTTTTAATAAAACACTATTTCTCGACTTACTATTGGCTGTTTGAGTCCATCAGCTATCAACTGCTCTCTTCCACCAGCTCAAATCGCCTTCAAATAACAAAACCATCCATTTGCACAATCTGATAAGTTCTTCTTTTAGCAACTTTTTGCTTGAGGCTCTCAATAAAGCAAGCTCTGCTTGGTTCATGTCTTAATTGTACTTGAGACAACTTAAGTTTGATAAGTTTTGAGATAAGAGCCAATCTTATCTTTGGCTGTTTGCTGGTGGGAACAGTAAGCTCAACACTCAAGGTGAGATGAGATCAAATTGATATGATTCTCGTGGATATAAATATGGGGTAAATTTTTCAGTTATTTGACAACAGCTCTTTCAAAACCATCAATCAACTTTGGCCCCAGTTCATCTAGTGTCTTTTAATTGCAGGCTTCTTTCTAATCTACTCAGCTTTTTAATTTACCAATTGCAGCCGTAACAATGCCACCTTTAACTCAAGAAGTAATTAATGGTAACCTCGATAAGATTGTCCCTGAAAACATCTATAATGATACTGTTTTGCCATTATTGCAAGAACTTCTTGCAAAACCAGGTTTTGATCCAGCTGTCAAATTTGATTTCGACAAGCATATAATTTTCAATCCTGCTACTGATTATGAAAAGTACAAGCCAGTGATGTTGCCAGAGATTGATATTGATCATCCAGATGCTATCAGTGATATGGCTTTCACTTTGGCATTTCCATTGTACTCTGAAGAAGCTGTTGATACAATGAGATACGAAATCTTTCAAAAAGATATTTTCAGAAACCATTCTAGAATGGCAAATTTAACCAAATTCAAAGGAATGGATGTTCAAATTGCTGGACAAATTGGGGATACTCCTTTTACTAAGGATGCAATCACTCATCCAAAAGTTATGGAAATATTTAACAAGCTAGCTGGACTTGAATTGGTTTATATGATGCCCTATGAAGTAGGTTCAATTAATTTTGGCATCAAACCTGTGAAACAAGTTGAAGATGAAAAAAACAATAAAGAATATTATTTGGCTCAAAATGCTCAGGCTTTTGATGAAAATTCTGACTTTGTTAGAGGATGGCATCATGACAGTAACAGTTTTAGTTTAATCACAATGCTTTCAGACACAAAAGATATGATTGGTGGTGAAACTGCATTGAAAACTGGCGATGGCAGGATCTTAAAAATCAATAATTATCAAAAAGGATGGGCCTCTTTGGTTCATGCTCATTGTTTAAATCACATTGCATTGAAACCATACTGTTCCATTGAGAGAATTACTGCAGTTACAGCACTTAGAGCTAAGGATCCATTACATATGGATCCAACAGTTTTAACAACAATTAAACCCTCTGTTTTGCATAGAAGTCTTTATAATGAATACTATCCTGAGTGGATGGATTATAGATTGGAAATCATGCTAGAGAAACTCAAATGGTTGAGAGAAAAGGTTCAAAAAGACAAGAAAAAGGGTAAAGATTTTAATCAAATTGAAATGATTAACTATTTGGAGGATTTATCCAATTACACTAAAGCAACTTGGAGAGAATTTGAGGTTGTCGACGAAGGTAAATACTACCAACCTGAAAAGAAGAAATTTATCCTTAATTGGAGAGATGTCGAAGGCAGCGAAATGAGTCAAAAGATTATGAAATTTGATTTATAGAGACTTCAGAGAAGAAAGTTTCTAATTTATGAATATATTCTATTATTATTAAGCTTATAAACACATTAAATTATACAAATCTATTTATTTATTTATTTATTATGAATCTATATATATATGTCTTTTTTTTTTCTTTTTTTATTCAATAAAGATTCCGTTTTAGTATGTTACAAATTTGATTTATAATTTGGATCAGAATCAAGAGGTGGTAGAGTCTTTTCAATGAATTTAACAATTTCAATCAACTGTTCATTAACAACTTGGTGACCCATTCCATCAATTGGAATGAATTTTAAATTTGGCAAAGCAAATTCATTTTTAAAAAAATCATAAGATTGTTGAGCATATTTAAAACTAATCATTCTATCATTTATCCCGTGAAATTGTAAAATTTCAGTATCAACATTTGGAATACTCTTGCTAATATTATCGGTGGATTTGTATTTCAATAATTCTGGAATAATTTTAACAAAACCTGAGCATGAAATAAAACCAGCCAACTTATGTTTACTTAGGATAACTTGAGATAAAGTTAATGAACCACCTTGCGAGAAACCACCAAGTAAAATTCGATTTGAAGGAACATTATCATCTTTGATTAAAGAATCGATATGATTATTTATGGTCGAGATCGAATTCAAGTAGCCCTTTGTATCGTCCTTTGCATTGATTGACCCCATTTCATAGATATCAAACCATGATGGTATTTTGTTAGCATTTTGAACAGTTAATGGGATGGTTGGAGCATTAGGAAAGATGAATTTAATATGGTTGAATTTATTATTTGATTTTTCGCCTTGGAGAATATCAGCTAGGAATTTCCAGCCATTACCAGAGTCACCAAGACCATGAATGAATATGATAGCAGAGGAAGGAGATTTATTGATTGAATTGATAGTTATAGCAGACATGTTAGAGATGATATTGTTTTGAATATTTAGCGGATTGCTATTGTGGATTAGGTTTAATTTATGAGATACAAATAATATTGGTAATGAAAGGAATACGAAAAAGGAAAAGAGAGAAAAAAAGGATCTTAGCATTAAATCTTTGAGTTATTGAGAATAATTTAATTATGAAGAATAGTTTTGTTCTGTTTGTTTTCAACAGTGATTTGGGGAATACATCGAAATATTTATATGAAATAAGCTTTCATCGAACTGGCAGAGAAAGACATTCGAGTTGATGAGTAATGCTTATTAATAAGAGTGGAAATTGTTGATACTTACTAATGATGAAAGATATATAGATGATTAGATAAAAAAAAGATAAAAGATAAAAGATAAAAGATAAAAGAATAAAAGGATAAAAGAATAAAGTAAAAAAGAATAAGAAAAAATTAGAGGAAAAATGATATCAAGACTTTGAAAATTGTTGAAAACTTTGGAAGACTATTGAGTATATAGTTGCCATAAAGCAGGAGCAGCGCTAGGAGTCCAAGTTGGATCATGAGAAGTATGGGGTTGAAGACAAATGTATAATTGATTAGAATAAGAGACAATATCGTCTTTATTATATGCAACGTATAGTTGCCATTGTTTGATGTGACCATGATGAACAGAATCAGAGGTCGAAGAAGATGAAGAATCTTGTTCATTGTTGTTGTCGAGAACCTGTTGGTTATTATTTGGGTATTGCTGGGTTTGAGTATCTTGGTAATAGTTGTAATTGGAATTAATAACAAAAGGTTGACCTCTTGTACCAAGATAATTAATGGCAGTTCTGCTATATTCAAAATCATTTGATTGACTGAAAGATGAGATGGCGATGCTCATTTCAGGTTTGTTTAGATCTTCTTCAGCAATGACTTGATCTCTATTAAGAGCCCAGAAAGTTAGTAAACCGATATCTCTATATCTAACGAAGTTTAATAACTCGACAAAGTCGCTTTGGGTGAAAACTGAGTTGTCATCATTTTTACCTATCATAGGACAGATACCAATAGATTTATAGATTTCTTGTGCAGATCTATTGGGAAAGACATGAGAATGCAATTGCGCTTTCATTAGTTCGATCACTTTGATAGCAGCTTGACCCCAGGTGTTTGCATAAGGAATATCATCTAAGGACATGTAATAGTCCATTGCCATTGCGTTGATTAAAGTGATGTTAACGTTATAACCTTGGATTGTTTGAATACAATGGATGGCATCATTGGTCAACCCAAGATTTGGATGAGATGATAAAGTTAATGAAATGTATAAATTGTTTTGCAAGGCACTTTGTAATCTGGATAAAACCCTGCCAATTTGATTGATTAAAGTTAGATTGGTTAGATTTGAACCCTCAATGTCATAATCAATTGCATTTATATTATATTGTCTGAGGATGTTCAAAATTGCTTCAAATTCCTCGTCTTCGTTTAAGAAGTTGGATAAATAATTGCCCAGAGCACCGCCGAAACTTAGGATGATATTGCCATTATTGTTTGTAATTGAGTAGAAATTTCTGATATCGTCTTCCCATCTATGGATGTCGTCGACTGAGTTGACAACAAAGGCCAAAGTGACAGTGTTGAGACCTAGTTTTTGATGGGCTTCAGTTAAAGTAGATATTTTGTAATACTCAGTGTTGCCCTTGCCCCAAAGATACAAGTAAGGAGCAAAAATAGTGGGATTTGAGGACAAAGACTCAGGGTTCAATTGTACTAAAGGCATTGAGAAGAACTTGAAGAGATAAAGGAAGATGATGGGAAGAGAGAAGAAAAGCAGAAAAATCAAATAGTGGTTGGAGACTCGTTTCAAGAACTGGGAAAACATTGCGAGAGCAGGGTCTTTTATAGTGATGGGCTAGATAAGATTTGAAAGTTAGGTGAAACGAGAATGGGAAAGACAACAACAAGGCTTTGAAGGAGCTGGCGAGTAGAAAAAACCTGAACTGGGCTGAAGCTGGGAGTAGAATGGTGTCGAATCAAAGCCAATATATTCTGCGCATTCAGCAAAGCAGTTCCTTCAAAAGGTTTGCTTCAGAAGGTTTCCTTCAAAAGGTTTCTCAGAACATTGTTTGGGCTTTTTGGGTTTGCTTTTTGCCCTCTCCCGTAGATTTGGATTTGAAGCAGACGCATTGATATTCAGGTGTATGTGCATAAACGCATAGTCAGGAAGTATCCATTGTGGTGGAGTGCATCTGTATTAATGTTGAGCCACCATTGAGGTTTGCATTCTTAGACATTGGTGTGCGTTAGATATAATAACCAGTGATAAGAAAGGACTGAAAGAAGAATCAATTCAACAAGCAACAGCTAAAGGATTTGCAACCGATACTCCAACGTTTAAGAGCAGTGTGTTTCTGGCTGTGTTCAACATGTACCAACCTCCTGCATTACCACCAAAACCCTTTGTTGGTCCCAACAAGACTGGTGCTGACGACCAGACAGTGCAACAGAACAACACTGGCAGTGCTGAACAGAGCCACAAGAACAAAGACCATGGAGACACCATTGATAACTCAAAAGAAGACGAAAACTTGCTTCCACCTTTACCTGAGGTGATAACTTCATTGGCGCAGTCTCAGTTGGTTACGTTTCTAAACAGTGATAACTTGCTCAGGGGATATTTAATCAATTTAAATTTTTTTGTTAATTTCAAAAATGAGAAAAGGGAACTAATAGCAAATTTGATTAACAATCTAAACTCAATATTGATGAAATTCAATGATTTAAATCAATTGAAATATGAAATGAATAATAAACTAATCAATTTGAAGAATAAGGAAAAAAATTTTAATAATTTGTTACAAATCAAATTATTCAACTCACTAAAGAGATTCCAGTTCAATTATAAGGATAACAATCTACTAAATAATAAATTATTATTGAAAAAGGACTATTACAATAATATTTCAAACTCTTTATTAAACAAATTCCTAAATGATAATGTAAACATTCATGGTTCTGATATTAACTCCAATTCCAATCCCAATTCTGATAACAATACCGATCATACTAATGAGAACCCAGTTGATCAACTAAAACTAATTCATATAAATGAAAATAGTTTAGATTATAATGATTCAAACCAAACTCCAATTTCCGATAATAAATACTATAATGATTCAACTATCCAAGATTTTATCAAACTTTACAAATCATCAAGAAAATCTTACTATCTAAATAATGAAAGATTGAAAAGATTACATGAAAACAGAATTGGTGGAATGTTATGATGAAAATTATCAATTTTTAAATCAATAAAATAAAATAAAATGCTATAGTATAATATACAAATAAGTAATCAATCAATCAATCAATCAATCAATCAATCAATGATCAATCAGTCAACCAACTATTCAACCAACTGGTCGACTAACTAGTCAATACATCTTCTGTCTCTTATTTGAATGATATCCATGCTTGAGCTTCAATTCTTCTAACTCACTTCTCATAAATACATATGCCAAATGGATCTTACCAATAAAATGATCCCCTAATCTTCTATCACTATCTAATCTACTTAGATACGCCCCACAGGTCTTACAAACTTCCAATTTCTGTTGTCCAACTTGACCAATATTATCAATTAAATCTCGTATTGTCTTTGAAAATTTTTTTCGTTGTAAAATTATCTCATTTAATTTATTGCTCTCAACTATTGATTTCAACACTTGATTATTAGTATTTAATATCTCAATTTCTTGAATTATTATCCCAATCTTATTATCCATATTATCTAGTTCTTTAGTTAACTTGGATACCTTTAATTCTTCTTCTGGTGTATGTTTTAAATTCTCTGACGCCTGAACTATCTTGAAATTGCATTCATTTATATAGTATTCTAAATCTCGAATATACTCAATCTCAAATTCTTCAATCATTTTCTTAATTTTGTAATTTTCTCTTTCTTTCTCGTTATTTCTTTTTATTTTTTGATCTCTTTCTTTATTGTCTATTTTATTTTGAGGCTGTCCATTTTTATCGCCAATTTTCTGTTTTTCTTTTTCATTAATATCGCCATTAGTACTGTTTTTATCTTTCTCATCTTTCCCATCTTTTGCATTATTATCATTTTTCAAATTATTAAGATAATTCTTTTTCTGATTCTGATAATAAATCTTAAACTTCTCTGAATGAGTTTTTTTGCATTTACCAAACACCTCTTTGGTTCCAATGAATAAATCATGAGGACATGTTCCAACTAAAAACGACTTGCATATTTTGGTATCAAATAAATTAATCTCTCTATGTGGTCTATTGTATGAATATGAGGAAGAGGAAGATGGGTAGTAGCTATCTCTCCCCATCATTTCCTCAATTAATTTTCTCTGTTCTGCTGCCATGAGTGATAAAATATTAAATTAACAATACAAACAAGAATAATAAAAATAGAAATAGGAATAGGAATAAAAATAAATATAATATGAAATATTGAAAATAGATAAGATGGTCTTCAAATGTCGCTCTTTTTTTGTCGGCATTTTCTTCTTTGAACGCACGTGCTTCTATCAAAAAATTGTCTTTTCTTCAACTTTAAAATCAAATTATTGATAAGTTTGAATGAAAATTATATGGAAAATATATGATAATTATATGGAAAATATATGAAAAATATATGAATTTTTATTAGCATGATAAAGATGACTAATTTGAATTCTTCATTTTCAGTTGGGATGGGAATAATAACATGGTCATTAAGATTTGGATGTTTTTTGCATTTATTTATGGATGAAATATATGAATTTACAGAGACTTCAGGTGAATCAATGACACCAACATTACAGCCAAATGGCGATTATGCTCATGTTTTAAAAAGATACAAGTATGGAAAAGATTTAAAGGTTGGAGATGTGATAGTAGCAGTCAAACCGACAGAGCCTCACCACAGAGTATGTAAAAGAATAACAGGATTGCCTGGGGATATGATATTGATTGATCCATCGATGGGATCTGATTTAAATAGTTTTGATAAAATTGGCTACAATGGTAATGACAAAGATAAAGATAAAGATAAGAAAATTGGCGGTGACAAAGAATTTGATGAAAAGTTAAATGAATATATAGAGTATATTGAAAAAACCGATAAACAGGATATACAGGATAAAGAAACTTTTAAAAAATTGGAATTGAAAGAGTATAATGAAAATAAATACAACTCGATGAATAGATATATAATAGTACCTGAGGGACATTGTTGGCTAACTGGGGATAATTTGTCACAGTCATTAGATTCCAGGAGTTATCGACCAGTTCCTATGGGGTTGATAAAGGGGAAAATAATTGCAGCTAATTTGATATTTGAGCCATTTATTAAAATTGATGAAGATGATAAGTTGAATGTGTATGGATTTCGATGGATAAAGAATAATTTTGAAGACGAGATTTATTCTATCGAGTAATTGTTTAGTGCGTTGATGTATTACAAAAGCACTATAAGATTAGCATAAGAGATTACAAAGGCGGTGTATATTGATTATAGATATATTATAATTTATTTGTATATATATTTGTTTATATATTTTTCAAAAATTTTGAACCAAAATATAGAGTTGGAGCAATTAAAGAGAAAAATTTGATCAACACGTTAAAGATACTATCATATCTCCAATATTGGATAAAGAAAACCTCAAATGAAAATAGACAGATTATTAATATGATTGCATTCAAGTTTTTCAAATTTGAGAAAATGGAAATTGAGTTGGAATTAGAGTCTTTTTGATTTAAAATTTTGAAATTTAAAAACGATATGTAAGCGATGGAAATTGATATAAATAAGAAAGAATAAAGTAATTCTAATGATTTATTTGCTTGATCGGGGACTTTATTAAAGATATGATAAATTTCAGGTTTAAAAGAGTTAATTTTGTTATTGTTATTATTTGAGTTAAGATTTGAAGCGTGTTTCTTTTTATCCTTTGAATTAGAATTGAGATGGGAAGAAATTAAATCGTTTGAAAATTTGATCTTAAATAAATTCTTTTGAAATATGTTTTCCTCAATTGAGTTTGAATCGTAACTTGCTATAATTAAGTTTAGATTTAACGAATTTGAATTGAGTAGTAAGTTTTTAGGAATTTTGTTTAAATCAATTTTTAAAGCAACTTTTCCATTGTCATTAATAGTGGGATAGTAATAGTTTTCAAGGATATTATTCTCAGAATGTACATTGTCCTTGTAGTGGAGTTCATTGGATAGTGAGACAATGCATTGAATTGGTTTAGAGAAAGAGCTCGAAGCAATTGAGCCAGAAGACAAAGATATCTCAAAAGACAATTTGATACTATCAGATCTGGAGGTGAATTCAAGCTGTTTTGGAGGCTGTTGTAAGGCCTGAAGAGAATCAAAGCTCTCGACGTGGGCCCCAATGGAGAGCAATCCATTGGAGACAGAAAAGGCAGCAGAGCAGCAGGCCCAGCACAACAAAACAAGCACCTGAACCAAGCTGAGCATCTTATACATGGAGAAGATCTTGTTGATCTGAGCAGTGTCTAAGCAGTGTCTGAACAGCTTTGAGCAGCACTCAAAGTGCTTTCGTGGTCAACTCAGAAAAAGACAGTCCCACAGTTACACAGCAGGGGCGTAAGTGCTGTTCCAGACCTATCCGCACCCATGGATTTTGAGCCATGCACTACAGCACACTCATATGTGCTGTAGTGCATATGACGGTTTGAAAAGAGCACCTCCTAGCCTTTTCTTTGGCCCGAGGTCTGTAAAAATCATCCTGCCCCCAGAGTGAAGAGTCGATGCTCAGCAAATACGTATGCTACCCTTGAAACGTTTTATCTTCCACTTTGATCTTCCACTTTGTTGTGCTGCTCCTGACAATCAGAAGTGCTTTTGATGCAATGGTCTACCAGAGCCGGTCAGTATTTCCTAGCTGTGTGTGTTGCTGCTCAATGTTCTTTAACTGCTGGTGCTTATTGGCGTAATTGAGCCTCCAGGATATCTTCAAATGCTTTTG